ATATATATATATATATATATATATATATATATATATACATACAGACCCTTTCCAAAAAATTTGAATATCATGGAAAAGTTGTTTAACTTCCATAATTACATTCAAAAAGTTAATCTTTAATAGAAGATAGATTCAGGGCCCACAATTTCAATGATTTCAAGTATTTATTTGTTTATTTTTACATAATTTAGGCTTCCAGCTCATGAAACCCACGAACACAGGATTAAAAAAAAAATACAATGTAGAATACTGTAGAGATATTAGCCCAAATTTTGCAGGTCATGAATGTTTTAAACTGAGTGTGACACACTAATCATCTACTAAACTCAAAGCACCTGCACAGGTTTCCCCAGGTGTCATTGAATTGCTTGAGTATGGTTCAATGGTCTCAGTTCGGTTCAATATGGGGAAGACTCCAGACATAACTGTCCAGAAGACCATCATTGATACCCTCCATAGGATGGGTAAGCCACAAAAGTTCATAGCTAAGGCGGCTGGCTGTTCACAGAGTGCTGTGTCCAAGCATATCAATGGAAAGTCTAGTGAAAGGGCAAAATGTGGCAGGAGAAGATGCACCAGCAAAAGAGAAGACCGGGACTTCAGCAGATTATCAAACAGAGAAGATTCCAGAATCTGGCAGAGATCCAGAAAGAGTGGAATGAGGCGGGAGTCACAGCTTTACAAACCACCACATTCAGATGTATCCGGGAGATGGGCTACCACTGTCGGGTTCCTCTGTCCTTTTTTCCGATGAAAGTAAAGTGTGCCTTTTATTCATAAATCAAGGTCCAAGGGTTTGAATGAAGAAGGGTGAGGAACAGAACCCATACTGCTTGAGGTCCAGTGTGAAATATCCACAGTCAGTCATGATTTGGGGTGCAATGTCCAGTGCAGGTGTTGGTAAACTCTGCTTTCTTAAATCCAAGTATTTGCAGAACCGGTAATTGACTTGAGCAATACTGAACCTTTATTTACTTGGTATCAGATTGATACCAAATTTTGCAGCATTGCACACAACTATCATTCGTGGGCTGGACTGAAGTCACCTGCAGGCTGAAAATGGCTTGCGGGCTGCCAGTTGAATTTCCCTGTTATATGGTGTACCTTTATATATCTTACATATGGTAAAATTTGTAAATACTTTTCGTAACAGCCCAAGAATACTCACTAACGTATGTCTGGAATAGAATCTGATATTTACTTGGAATGAGGTAATGAATAGTTTACCTTATCTGTGACGGCTGACCCACAGGAAGTGCTTTGTCCTCATAAAAGCGCCTCATGGCAAACCTATCCAATGCCTGGTCAGCACTGTATGAGACACAGTTATTTAAATGTTAGCACAAACTATGCCAAAAAACTTTTGAGAGGATCTGCGTGTGTTTTGTGTCTCGTGTCATCTGTCCTGTCCTCCTCAGTGTTTTGCCCTCTGCTACCTGTTGTCCTTCCCCAGATGTTTGTGTTTATCCCCTCATTAGTGTCTATATATTCTGCATTTCGTTATTGTTCCCTTGTCCATGGATTTTCCCATGTTCTGTTCTCGTCTCCTAAGTGTAAGTTTTGCTGCCACATCAGCGTTTGTTTTTGTTCTTTAAATAAATTATTTATTTGTACTTGGAGCTTCCCGACTTCAGTCTGCACTTTGGGTCCAACAAGACCAACAGATCATGATAATGTTAGAATATATCAGTAATAAATGCCTTTCCCCCTCCCACAAATTTATGAATCTCCCCAAACCTTCATCACTTTTAAAGCGGCTTGAAGCTCTCCTGGCTTCTCCTCCATCTTTAACATCTGGTTGCATTAAAGAATGATGACACTTTATACTTTTTCTCTCGCCAAGTCAAAATAATAAACCGGCCAGGATAGAGTGTTAAAGCTAAAACACCACATCCGTGCTTAATTTTTAGCAAACTTCAAGGCCTCACTTTGATGAATTTCTGCTCCCACTCTTACGCAGCCCAGTCAGAAGGAGATTTGGAAGATCAAAGAGCTTAAATAACCCTTTTTCATTTCTGACGACCAGAAATCTGCTCAGCTGATGAACTATTGGTATAATTACTAAGAGAAAAAAACCCCCACAGAACATCAGTGTGTTGGGTCTGTCCACAGAAGACAATATGTATCATACCTTGCAGATATGTTGCTGTAATGCATGTACGCAGCCACCACCACGCCCGTTCGCCCTCGATTCCCCTGAAACACAAAAGAAGAAGCAAGAAGACTCAAAAACACCAAGTCGCAAGTTTCTTTAGAAACAAGAGAATTAACAGTCTTTATAACAAATATGGTTTCCAAATTATGTCAGATTTTTATTTCCTTCTTTTTCTGCTTCATCAAGACCATTGGTTCCCAGAGTTGGGGTCAAGACCCTTCTGGAGTCATGAAACACCAGTTTGTAGGGCTTGAGAGGATTCCGTTAATAAAACCAGTTTAATGCTGAGAACCTGATTTGCAGTACTGGTAATTGACTTGAGAAATACCAAGTATAAAGTAAGTCTGTACAGTAACTGTACCAGTTGTTGAGACTGTTCTGTCATTATGTTTTTATTGTTCCTCATTGCGAAAAGGGCAGTGCTTAATTTGTAAACCAAATGACGCCAGAACGCAAATAGCTGGGGGTGAGGGCGGTCGTCTGAGAGTCCTCCCCCCAGAAAATTTTGAATATAGTAGATGCCATTTCTTACATTCTGGTGTATTTTAATGACCAACAGCTCTCTCCTTGTGTGTATAGAGCACACTCCGCGTCTCTGAAGCATACTACCCCCCCACCTCCACCCCAGTGTCAAGTACTAGCTCCATTGCCATTGCCTTCATGTGCTTCAATTCTCGATTGTCTACTTGTACAATGAGAAGACTTTTTTTAAATGAAAGTAAATTGGACTGTTGAGGTGGCTCGAACATTTGGTTAAGATGCCTTCTGGACGCCTCCCTGGTAAGGTGTGTACCACCGGGAGAAGACCCAGGGGAAGACCCAGGACACGCCGGAGGGACTATGTTTCTCAGCTGGCCTGGGAACGCCTTGGGATTCCTCCGGAGGAGCTGGCCCAAGTGGCTGGGGAGAGGGAAGTCTGGGCCTCCCTACTTAAGCTGCTACCCCCGCAACCCGACCCCGGATAAGCAGAAGAAAATGGATGGATAGATGGATGAATAAATTGGACCAGCTTTCCGACATTTTGATCACTATTATTTAGACAATTTGACAGTGTTACCGTTGTTATGGTAACACTGTCTAATTGTCAGAATTATCATTGTTTTGATATGTGAAATAGCTACGTAATGTGATTACCCATCAAACATTTTATTTAAAAAAAATAATAAATCAATTTTTTAATGACCCACTTAAAATGTAAAACTGATTTGCAATTTGTGCGGTTCGATTACATTTTAGTGTTTTTAATTAAGTTACCCATGACTGTTTTAGGGGCGGAGATTTTTTAAGGGTAGAAGCGGAAATGCTTACTTGAAGGAGCAGCTCTTATGTGATATTAGGAATATCGTAAATGGCTGTTATATTTAAAATTAGTGTTTATGTAAATATTTTCAGATTACATATCCAATATAGGTTTTATTCATTCAAAGCAGTCAAATTTGTTCATAACTTTATAATTAGTAAGCCTGAGAGTTACAGGATCCAAGGAAAGTTACCGGAATGCACCCTGTCAAAATAAGAGAGTTCCCAGATCCTGTTCCGGCAGGATCTGGCTCAAATTAAGCCTGGGACAAGGGGGGACTGGAAGTGTCTGTCCATTGGTATTGCTATTGATCAACACCAGTGTAATGAGATCAATACTTTAGCTTCAGTTTCTCTCCTGTATGCACTGTTGCGGTTTCATCAAAGATGCGAGCCGACTGTCTGTGCAAGTGCCGCTCCTGGTACAGCACAGAGCAGGCAACTTTGCTCCGCCCCTACCCACAGTGTTTTTATGTTGTACCATCACGTGACTCACCAGCGCCAGACAAGCAAGCAAGCAGTCCGACCCAGCAGCAGCATACACGCATAAGCAGCGCCGAGACGGAGCAGAGAACTGACAGAGAGGAAGAGGAGCGCTGTGTGGCTATATTTTCAGGGCGAAAATGAAACGACGGCAAGCTGTTTAATTTGTAAAAAGGCTGTAAGACAGTGGTAACACAACAAATGTATACAAGCAGATGAAAAATCATGTGGAAGAATGATCCAAAGTAAAAAATCACAAAACACTTAAATGTCATTTAAATTCACCGTAATTATTTAAAAGTAACGTATCGGTATCATTATCGGCGATACTGGACCTGAATTTACTTTGGTATCGGCTCAATACCAAATTTTACAATATACACACCACTATTGCCTAATAATAATAATTATATATATATATATATATATATATATATATATATATATATATATATATATATATATA